CAGAGTGTGTCCTGCAGCCCCCTAGAGTGTGTCCTCCAGCCCCCCAGAGTGTATCCTCCAGCCCCCCAGAGTGTATCCTGCAGCCCCCAGAGTGTATCCTACAGCCCCCAGAGTGTGTCCTGCAGCCCCCAGAGTGTGTCCTGCAGCCCCCCAGAGTGTGTCCTGCAGCCCCCAGAGTGTGTCCTCCAGCCCCCCAGAGTGTGTCCACCAGCCCCCCAGAGTGAATCCTACAGCCCCCCCAGAGTGTATCCTGCAGCCCCCAGAGTGTATCCTACAGCCCCCCTAGAGTGTGTCCTGCAGCCCCCAGAGTGTGTCCTGCAGCCCCCCAGAGTGTCTCCACCAGCCCCCCAGAGTGTGTCCTGCAGCCCCCCAGAGTGTGTCCTGCAGCCCCCCAGAGTGTGTCCTGCAGCCCCCCAGAGTGTGTCCTGCAGACACCGACAACGTTACAGTGATCACGTCGGCATGCGGCCGTGAGAAGAATGCGGGGAACCACACCACCTCCACCACGATTTTCACGGAAGCAGCCCACTCATGCCTCCAACGATGGGGGGGGGGGGTGATGGGGGGGAGGGGTTGGGGGGATGTGGGAGGGGGTGGGGGGGGGTGCTAGTCTGTTGTAATAGGATTGATGTTGGTCAGGAATTAGCTGACTCTCCTGTCTTGTGTGTGTTTCTGGTGGTGGTGTTGATGGTGGTAGTGGTGGTGGAGGTTGTGGTAGTGGTGGTGGAGGTTGTGGTAGTGGTGGTGGAGGTTGTGGTAGTGGTGGTGGAGGTTGTGGTGTTGGTGGTGGGTGGAAGAGTAACTATCAAATGGCCTGAACATTACTCTTTCCCGTCGTCCTGTAGTTACTGACAGATAAACACGCCCCCTATCCCCCCTCCCTACCCCCCCCCACACTAAACCCCCAACCGTCGATACCATGACCACACCATACATCATCCTCTCTCATAACTTGGGCTTCCCACCACCACAGAGTGTGGTGGTCCTCCCCATATTGAGGCGCGGATAGGTTGGGGGGTTGGATAGGTGGGAGGAGGTGGATAGGTAAGGAACGTGGATGAGACAGCTTGGTGTCATTTGCCAGGGAGCTGTACGCAATAACTATGTATGTATTGTATGTATGTATACATGCATGCATACTGGGATGCCTATGTATGTGCCCCCTGATAGTACAGCCAGTATTTCCTCGTGAAGAACAATGTCTACTGCTTTCTGACAGTCTAGGAAAATGCAGTCTACCCAGTCTTCATTTTTTTCACATAGAACTCAAACAAATTTTGTCAGGCACGACCTAATCCATTTCTAAATCCATGCTGACCTTTTAGTCACTGAGACACGTCATAGTGATGTTAAGATCCACCATTCTCGACATGTTAACACTTTAATCATGTTAATGGACATGATTAACACTTTATAAGACCTGTTAATGACTCCCGTCTGTAGCTTACTGCCTTTTCTGCCCCTTTTATTACGTCAGGCTGCGAGCAGCCGCGTCTAACAGCCTGGTTGATCAGTCCAGCAACCAGGAGGCCTGGTCGACGACCGGGCCGCGGGGACGCTAAGCCCCGGAAGCACCTCAAGGCATGCTGATTATGCTATTCTTTTTCTCTGGGGGTATTTCCTATCTTAGGAGTTTTATTAATTTGTTTAGATAATCGGTGGCAAAGTGTATGGGATTAGGTGGGGTTGTGGGAGGAGGGGGGGGGGGATAGGTGGGGTTGTGGGAGGAGGGGAGGGATAGGTGGGGTTGTGGGAGGAGGGG